ATCTGTCTTCTAGCTACAGTGATTTTACCTGAACACCTAGGCTTTTAGGATGCTCCTTGCAGGATACAAAAACAAAGACTCACTCTGGAAGTCCTGTGGGGGTGCATGGTGGTAAAAAGGAGAATACCAATTTTGTTCCACTGGGAAAATAAGTTGAAAAGAGCCTGGAATTCAGGTATCCATTGTAAGCAGAGACTCTGATAGTTGCCACAGACTCAGTTTACCCTTTGATTTCCTTGGGAGGGACTTTAATCAAACCATTCCAAATGAAAGGATTTTGCCCCAGATGGGACACTGTAGCTGGTGAAGCCTTGGAGGCGGAACCAACAGGCTCTATCTTGAGGTCACCTTTCCCCACCCCTAGGCAACTTACCTGTTGCGCAAAATGAATACCAATGAGCTACCTGTGCATCACTAATGCCCCTTAGGTACCACCTCAAACCTAAGCTGCTTGTATGCCCCCACACCATGTGTCTGGTGGAGAGAGAATGCCATATACAGGAGGGTCATGCAGTCTCTCTCCACATTCTTAAAATAAAGCCTGCTTTTATTTTGTACTTCTTATCTTTTTAGCCGTGCCAAAAATTCTATCAGATGGTTCCCTTCCGCGCCGAAAATTCTATCACCAAGTAACCAAATTTTGATTTAAAAGGCTCAAAATTATAGAAAAGTCCCCAGAGACTTGGACAACCAAGAGGGAAAGTTATGGGCACTTTATAGCACTAAGGTAGGCTGGAGGCTAGAGACCAATGAGATCAAAGGAGAGGGAGACACTTCTGATCTCCCCTGAGAGCCTGTGTTGAACTTCTAACCTCAGTCTGCCCAGGACATGAAAGTCATTGTCTCTGTTCCAAGGGCAGAACCCAGTGCTAGCTGAGTGCAGGGACCAGAGGATCATTTTCTACTGGGGTTTTAACCTCCTTTTTCCAAACAGTCATTAAACAGAGTCATTCAGTTAACCATCCATCAGTCACTCTGGAGACAAGGAGTTAAGCCAGTGTTTGTCAAGTGACTGGTCTTTCCCACAGGAGGACCCTTTGATGCTTGCAGCCAGCTCTCCTCACGCAGTCTCACCTCTGCCTGTGGGCTTTCCATACAAGTTCCAGTAACCAGTTTGGTAGCTGGCCATGATAGGTGGATCCACCCTTAGAGTTCAAGGTCTCTGCAGCCTGACAGTGAAAGGCTGTAGAATTGGGGAGAGGTGAAACTTTCACTTGGGCATAGCACAGACAAGCACAAAATGCTCTCTGGTTCCCTGACAGCTACCTCCTCTCACTCCCAGCTCCTGCCCTGTAACAGTGGAGGGCTGATCTTTGGAGCACAGTGTTCTGTGATTCGCTGTTTTCACCAAGTTCCATCTGGAGCACTCCAGCAGATTTGGATGAAGGATATTCACGGGAACTCTGGAGATCCCAAAGCATTAAAAGACCAGCTGAGACAAAATGAAGGAAAGGCAGTTTACTTACTTAAAGAGCATGGTGATAAGTTACGCTTTATTTAAACTTCATTAAAAATCAGGATATGGTCTCAGGAATTTCACTCTGTGAGTTTCCTGCCTGCAGACTTTTCTTCAAACAACTAAAGATTAGTCTATCAGCTTTTAGGACTGAGTAGGAGTTATTCCTCTAAAAGCAGTAAAGGGCACAGATTACCTGCAAAAGATAACAGCAGGGTGTTAGAAGCACAGAGGAATCTTTAGAAATACTCCCCGGTGTCTTCTCTCATTCTCATTTTTATGGGCTCCCAGGCAAGCCCGTGGGAGCTGTTACAGGATCTGTGTAGTAGGAAAAGCCCCAGCTTCCACCCCCACTCAGGTCTGCAGACACAGTTTGTGTCTCTCACCTAAGATCCCCACCCCTGGTTTCTTTGGCTCTCCAGGCAGACAAAGGCAGGTGATAATAGACTGCTTGGTCGGACTGCATTCCACAGAGGTAAAGCGGATCTGCCCATTCCTATCTCGGTGCTGAAGTACAATTCCTTGCCTCTGTTTTGCATTCCTTCCTTTACCACCCAACAAATGCTTGCTGATTGCCTTCTCTCTCCTAAGAACTGTTCTGGGGTCTATTGCTACCATGGTAAGTAAAATAAAGTCCCATGCTTCCAGGAATGTGAATTTCAAAACTACACTTGGTATCTCTACTGGAAGTGTCACCTGCTTTTGCCTACACCCCTATGGCTATGATTTTCAGATGGATAATGCCCCATTGACAGGAATTTTCCCTTAGGACTGAAAACTGCTCAAGGTCCCAATGTCCTTTTGTGTCCTTCCATTCGTCTCTCTCCACCTCCTCCCATTACTCTTCCCCTCCTTTCACTGAGGAGCTGAGTTCTCCTCTCTGTTCCACAAATCTCTCTTCTGCACTTCTGCTCCTGCTTTTGATTGTGTTTCTAATTGACAAACACTATTCACGCCATTTTATGTATGATGCTCTTTCGGCCCAGTTACACTGCAAACTGTTAGAATACAGGCTCCAAGCCTTAGTTCTTATCTGTCATTCCTGAGAGACTAGTACAGTTTAGCTGTGTCATTGATCTGAACCCCAGCCTCCATTCCTTTGCCTCACAGTGTTATAAATTCTGCTATTCCGTTTATCAAAGTATTCCTAATAAGTGCCAGTAATTCCCTTGTGCTAGTCTGTTTGCTTATTTGACAGTGTCTGTTCACAATTTGGAACATCTGTCTTATTTACCTCAGTTCATGCTGCAGAAAAGTTGGCACAGTAATAGGAAATTGATGCACATTTTTTGATTACCAATAAACTGATTGACTGGTAGTGACCGAAGTAGAAACCTGTAGGATCTGTTGGGTGACTACCCTTCAAGAATGGTGAGCAGCACACAGGAATTCTAGGGCCTGCCTTCAGGGTTCTAGAAATGTCTCTTGATGGATGTGGAGACACCAAGCAAAGACTTCAAGGAGTCAAAGACTGATGCTGAATGAAGAGACATAATTGTCATCTCCAGCCCTTTGGAATGAATATGCTTTGGCTGGAAGGCTCCAGATTGGAGATGGTTTTATTCAGCTTATAAAAATGAGAGAGAGAGAGACAGATGGGGGGGGGGAGAGAGAAATAGACAGAGAGAAAGAGACGGGGGGGGGGGAGAAATTATAGTAGTTAATTTTGGGTATTTTGTTAGGGCACCAGTAGGAAATTAACCCCAAGACATCAGGGCCAGTGCTAACGAGGCCAGGGAACTCTGAGACAACGTAAGGTCTGCCTATGCAAGTGTATAACATACAGTGAGTAATCAGTAAGAGCTCAGAAACAGTAAGGAAGGGAAAACTCAATACTTAGCAAAGAGACACAAGGTGAGATGTTTATTTTCCTAAATGTTTGTTGAAAAAATTTTCTCTTTGAGGTAGAAGAACCACGTTAACAGCTAAAAACCATGCTGACTTTGACCTTAGAGACCTGGTCTTACAAAACTAATATGAAAGTTGCCTTAAAATTCATGGGTTTGGAGAAGATGGGTCTATAATTAGACCTTGCACGACAATGATGAGAGGTGAGCAGTAGGATCTATGTACAGCCTGCTATGGAAACGAATGTGATCTGAAGTCCCACTGATGCCTAGAATCTTCCTTGTCAGCTGTCAGTTAAAGCAGTGTCCTCAGTTCCCACAGTTTTTACATCATTTTCAGGAAATATTCCACCTATAAAACAACTTATTCTGGCCAAACACACTGAAAATATGCAACATCCATCAAACAATGCAGAGTGATTTTAAAAAATAAAATGTACCATGTGATTCCTGTTGATAGGTCTTCAAAATATTTGATTTGCGCAAGACCCCATACATAAAGGTTTCAGCAGGACCATTTCCATCTCACACCCAGTGGGAAGCCCCAGACCCACACTCAAAAGGCACACAGTAGAGTGCAGAATCAGTGATCTATTCAGCTGACTTTGTCTTTGTTGCTCACATTTACCTGTTGTGTAACTCAATCTCTTTTCCATTCTCCCAACGTCCTGTAGGCAGCCTTGGCAGCTGTTGCCAGAATTTCTGAACTGGCTAGCTTTCTACCTGCACTGTTAGTGAGCTGGAATTTGTATGCACCCGTGTGTTTATGCATATGAATTGCACTGAGCATCCTTACCTGCTTTCTTCCATATTTTTGCATTTCTATTGTCAGTTTTTGGATAGTATGGACGTGTCTTGTCCTCTGCTGTATCTCAAGTCATAGAAAGAAGATAAAATAAATCTCAAATATGGCAATGCTACTCTTATACTTTGAAGGCAGAAACCAATCAAATTAACTTTCCTCAAAGAAATGTTGGAGAACACCATGGACCCTTGGACTCAGAGGGACAGAGCTGAAGCTGTGGATTCATTCCATTCCAGCTATTTACCTCTTACCAGAGAGGCTTCTGTGTGATCTGTCTACATGTTGTGGAAAGTACTTATGCACAGAGGTGTAATGTTATTTTAAGTTATCTCTAAATCCCATCCATCCAAGCAATTTTCTGACCTTCATCATGAGCAGCCAGACCTTTGGCTGTAAATGATACCAAAAATATATAGGAACTAGTGTAATTTTCCCAATGACTTTTTCTCCAAATGCATCTCCTTTCTGCCCTCCTACTCTGTGTCTGGTCTTGTTGCAAATTTACAATTTCCCCCATATACTCAGATATCTCTTGCCTTTAGGTTAGATCAGTGCCACATTGCAAACTCTAGATATATCACCGTAGGCTACCTTACTTCCTCCAGGACTCAGCCCAGAGACATGTTCTCTGGGAAGCATTTCCTGATGCTGAGACACTACACTGCAAGTCTCTGATCTAAGTTAGTCATTCCTGAATCTATCACAAATGTATCTCAATGTTTTCCTCATTAATTTATCTATTTTTAGTAGTAACCTTCTTGAGACAAAGACCATGATTCATTCTCTCTCTGTGTCTCCAACATCCTGCCTTACATACAGCATACGATCCAAAAGTGTTCGTTGAATTTATAAGAACCAAACCAAATTAATAAATGGCCCAGTGTTACCAAAATCCATCAATTTAATGTTCATTTTGAAGGAGACAGTTTCCGTGATCACCCATCCATTACACTGGAAGTATTCAGCAGACATGAGAGTGAAGGGGCAGGGAGGCAATCAGCAACCTCTGTGTGCAAGATACTATCTGCATATTGTTCACTTGGCCTGAACACCCAGAATTCAGCTTATGCTCCAAAGGCTGGAGAGTTGAGGCAAAAGTGTCAATGTAAAAGCAGAGCCCATTTTCCTATTTGTGAATCACCTTTCCGGGAAGTTGTAAAAATGCAGCCTGTCTTTCTCCTAGCAAGGCATCCATTCACATAGCGGCAACATGCACAGCTTTTGGATGGCACAATGTTACTACAGTTTTTGCCAGCAACTAGGTTTTTTTCTTTTTTTTCCCCTGCCATTCTGCATGAAACCTTGCCAACAAAAATCACTCCTGTCCACATAAAGCTGTGTCTTTAGAATCTCTTTTTTTACACAGAAAGCAGAGACCCAAAATGAAAGTCACAGTTGATGCTCAGGGACTCAGATGTCTCAACAAGATAAATGGCCATCACTGGAGAATTGTGGAACCACAGTAACACAGGGGCCACCGAAAGGGTCCTGATGAAGCTTTGATAGAGAAAGTATGTGGACCCGAGGTACTGAACACGGGCCAAGAGGAAGCCCTGGGAAACACTGTTTGTGTGCAGCTTAAATTCTCAGGTGTCTTCTGGAAAAAAATAAAAAGGAGAAAAAAGTAGAAAAATAAGCCAGCTTCTCAGCTTTGTAATGGTTTAGTTTTGCTTACCCCAAAGATGAGTTTAAAGGTTAAGACTCAATTTTCTTGTTATGTACATGATGTATTTGGTTTCCCTGTGAGGGTGGAGCACTGGCTCCCTCGGGGTGTGTCTTCTCCTTCTCGCCACAATTAAGAAGTGTAACATTTCAATGGCACCTTTGAAAACAGGGTGAAGCTTTGTGGCTGGTATCTTCTTTGATTCTGCTTAAAGAAAACAAAGCGTGCAGACTCAGTGTTATGCAGAAAAGGCTTGAATCACACAAGAAAATATTTACTGGCAGAGATAATAAATGGTGTGGTCACACATTTTATTTTATACAAGCTTGTGAGTTGCTCTGCTAAACCTTTTTGTGAAACTTTTGGTTGATTCTCCTGCAGGAGTTTTCTTTTTGATGCTTGGCCTTGGAGCAATGATCTATGCCATTTTCTTTTACAGCAAAAGGCATGATGGGGATGTCGAATTCCCATAATTGACAACACGAAGGGTTGCCCTCCGCAGAGGATTTCCAGGTTTATCACTGAAGTTGCCAGTCTTGCTTGATGAAACCCCATAGCTCCTGCTACTGGTCTGTTGGGTCATCTTATGCCAACTTAGGGTTGACACTTGGAGAAAAGCACTGCTTCCCAGGTGTTCATCTCTTGTTTCACCAGCTGGGGTGAACTCATGCATCATTTGTGTTTCTGCAGAATCTATGGGAAGATCCAGAAATATTGCCTGAGAAAAGCTGTCCCATGTTAAGAGTGAAAAATGGACTTTTTCTCTTACACTGACCACAAGACACAGTTGAGGAGAGCTCACGAACTCTGGCAAAAAGGTGAAAGGTGCTTCAACTTTCACATGTCTTAGATTCCTCTAGACTTGGCCAAAAGGGCTTACTCCCCTTTAAAGCTGAGAAAATGGGCTGATGTAAAAGTTAGTTGTGGTGTTTGAGACTGTACAATGTACAAGGAGCTCAGCTAAGACCAAAATTTAGTTCCAGATCCTATACTTTAATATGTGTTTATTTCTTTATTTGTGGTGCTAAACATTGAACCCAGGGGCTTGTGCATGCTAGGTGTGAGCTCTACTGCTGACTATTATGCTTTTGATTATCACCAATAAGCGAGATGAAGGTATGTTGGGCATCTCAGTGTTTATCGAGATTCATTTCCAGGCTGAACAACACAGCAAAACAAAGAATAAAGCAAACAAGACAAAAAAAAAAAAAAAAAAAAAAAAAAAAAAAAAAAAACCACTAAAGATCAAACCATTTTCAAACACAAATGCCAAGTAAAACAAACCGAAATTATTACTTTTTCTACAAGGAAGCAAGTACTGATGGGGACCTGGTAGACTTCACAGAATATTAACTAACACTCCGACCTGATGGGCTTCATGGTCTCCTTGATTATCTTAAGCCAAGGCTCTGGGACACTAATTAATCAGACGGAAAGTCAGGAAGGCATCTGTCCTCCATCACTACTTCTGCTGACTGCTGACTTAAAGATGTGAATCTGTTCGATCATCTAACAGTTAGGGAGAAGAGAAAACCAAATTTCAATGACACAGTGATGAGAGCCTGAGACAAAACCTAAGAGAATGACTGGCAATTAATTACACAGATAGCATCTCACTTTAGGGAAGGACCGGAGAGATCTCATGCAAGCTCTCCTTGTGAGGGAGCTGTTCGAGCCATCCTGCTGCTAGCTGGCCTCTAGTTGGAATGTCTTGACTCTTGGAGTCAGATTCTTTCCCCACTTTAAGCTAAAACAGTCTACCTCTCCAACCCTGGTGCTGGACTCTGGAGCCTTGAAGACTGTGGTTACTTGTGTATTTTACTTCCCAGTTGCTCAGTAGTTAAAGTCAGAACTCTTATCTTTCTGAAAATATTTATTCTCTCCCAAAGTATATACAACTTCTTCAGCTCTGGATATTCACTGATTTTCAGGATTTTCTCTAGATAATCACTCTTTTGAATGCTATTCTCAGTCCATGTTTTTGGCATAGTCTCCTGGGCCCGATTCATTTTTCTTGCTTAGTCTGACCCAGTATTAAAGTGCTTTCAGTATCTTTACTGGTCATGAGCTCTGTACCAGTAAGGTCATCTTTATGGCAGTTGGTGATCAGCTTGCAACCCACTGGAATTTACCAAGTGAGAAGCAGTTGTCTTCAGGTAATTTATCTCAAAGCCATTCTGGCAGGCTAGAGGGCCAGATCTCACTGTCAATGTGTGAGCCACAGCTCACGTACTGTGCTTTGCCTCGGTAAGCTTTTATCTTCCTATATTACATCTCTTGAAATATAGAGAAAACTAGGCAAAGGACTAGTTTAACAGCAACTTTGACAAATAGCACCTAAGGGAGGCTGAGTGACATTTGGAAAGTTGCTAAAAGCTTCCAGAGTCAAACCAAAGTCACAAAAAAAAAAAAAAAAAAAGTTTTTTTGTGGCTGTGCTGTGCTCAACCAGGCCACACCTGTTTTCAGAAACCACCAAATGTTCTTCAGATAAACAGAGATACCAAGTCTGACAGTCTCCAAGGCAACAAGATGCTGATTATCATCACACATGCAAGAGACAGGAGCCATTGGTGGCATACATTAAGCCTTGTAGGCTCATCTACTCAGTGGGAGAGTCAACTCCACTTTGAGAGCCCACATCCAAGATAGAACCCTAATGTCCAGCTCTCCTGGAAGGGACCCACTGCTGGAGTCCAAATCAAACAGTTATTCTGTGGCCTGACATGATTCCAAATAGACTTGTGGGCATGTTCTTCTCTTCTCCAGGTTCCTCACCTGCAAAATAAAACAAAGTGTTTAGGTGGCTAAAGCAGGATACATTGATGGGAAAGCAGTGGACCTGAACTACAAGAAGAGAAACTTGCTAAACTGGCTGTTTAAGGGGTAGATTAGATTTTAGTTAAGAATTCATGATCATGGGGAAATATAACCACAACCCTGCTTTCTGAGCATTTATGTTGATTAATGAATGATATATAAGCTCACAGGTTCTATTTGTGAGATATTTTCCATCTGGGGGCACTTTAATAAGAACAAAGCAAATGGGCACTTGGTGAAAAGTTGGTAAAGTACGGATTCCTCTAGTAGTTGATATGGTTGCCAGTCTGCTGTCTTCAAATTGTTGCTACTGCTACCTGTGACTCTCAGTTGCTGGATTTGGAGAAGCTCACCTTCAGTGGCTTGGTCTTGATACTGTGTGTAATTCTCACGCTTTCTTATGTCATGTCCTAGCTTGTGCATGTTCAAGAAATAGTTGGGCTAAGTTTGTGTGGGGGCCTGTGGGTCTCAGACACTGCAACAGAATAGAAATACATCACCCAGGAAATAGGAAAACATAGTGGCTGACTAATGGTACAAACCACCTTAAAAGACAAGACAGAGTGGTAAGTGCTAATGATTAGCACTGGTTTATAAAGCTTACTTATGCATAGCAACATAAAAAATAACCTAAAAGACTAAACTGTCCATCTTATTAAAAAGTCAGGATAAGGACTGTCAAGTGGAGATGAGGGTAGGACCAGAAGCTCAGAATAAATTATGATGGTAAAACAGAACCATCCTTTTATCAACACCTTGAGATCTAATGCCTTATTGTCCAAAATTTATGCTATATATGTAAGTGGAGTAACAAAATTTTAAAGATGCAGCCTTAATGTCAAAAAAGTTTCAATATTCTTTATTCTACACATATCCTGAATGTGTCTTTCTCTTCATATATTCCAACATATTACATGTACTGAAAACCCAACCACACACACACACATACACACACACACACACACACACACACATCTTTGCTTTTTTAAAACAGTGGGCTGATGTTGTACTTTTTGTCTTATATCTTGTTATTTCACCATTTCTTTGTGTCCAGTAAAGTAGGCCATATGTCATGTCATTTAAATATTCTGTTTTGGTGGCTACATACTATTTGATTTTTATACATACATCATACATAGCATGGATTAATGAAAAATTAGATTGACTCCAAAAGATTTCTCTCTCTCTTTTTTTTCTGGTATGTGTATCTTTCTTGAGTACAATTGTGGCTAAAGTTTTCCTTACTATTTTCCTTGGGAAAGTTCATGGCCATTTATTTTCCTGCCATTAGTACACAGATGGATTTTTTATTTTCTCTAATAGAAGATGAAATGTGGCTGGAGCTGAGAAATGCCATGATTCATAATTTTTTGATAACTTAAGCACTTTGCTATTAAATAGTAAGAGGGATTTAGCGAAAGGAGCTTGCTCATCACAGACATCCACACTGATTGGACCTCCAGAGCTGATCACTCAGCACTGCAGTATTTACTTGTTGCCTAAGATTTGGAATCTGGCTATAATGTTATTGTTCTAAGATAGATTTATGTCACTAAGAGTTAATTAAACCTTATTGCCTACACAGAAAGAGAGATCCTCAAAATATGTACTCTTTTGGGACAAAGAGACCACAGAAAATCTGGGTAAAAATATCAGAACACCAGAAAGTGTCCACATAGTGCCTTTCACTCCATGATGGGTCCTCTGGTTGGTTTTCCTCCGCTGCTATCTGTCTCTAGACTCCCCCATATTGTGTCTTCCATAAATATTGTACCCACAATCCACACCTAAGAGACTACTGTGTCCATTCCATCTCAAAATTACTTTTCCCTCTTCTATGAGAGGATGGAGAAGACAGTGACACAGACAATGGGAATTTGGAACTCACAAGGGTGAAACTAACTCACGTGGGTCGCTGAGTTCTGAGTCATGTGGACTCCAGCCACCTGTCTCCCACCCCCATGTAGCCACTGGGGATGAAAAATGGCAGCTGGATGGCTCAGGTCAACTTGATGCTATGGTTAGAAAATCTGTTTAGGAAATAGGAGGTTTAACTTACACTAGGTCAGTAATGTCATCTTGATAGACAAAACACAGTTGATGTCTCTGCTCACAACTTTCGCATTGGTCCAGCCGCTCAGCTCTTTTGATATAGGATAGCTGTCCCATGAGCTTACGTATGACAACTGTCTGGGGACAGAAACAGCACATGGCTTACCTGCAGCCCTCTGGATGGGTAAAAGCAGGGTGTCTGGCTTTCATGTCTTCAATGAGTGACGTTAAGGTTAGTATAAAATAATAATTCCAAGATCTGTCCTTTTTCCCAAGAAGAGATGGTGTTTGGTGACGCTGAGCTCAACTGTCTAGGTCTGGGCCCTAGTCCTTCTGTTACTAGTTGTGTGATCTTGGCAAGACTCTTGGCCACTCTGTGCCTCAGTTTCTCCACTTAGCAAAAGTGGATAATGATGGCAGTTACCTCCTCTTGGACTCCCACAAGGAGGCATTTAATCCAGGAATAATTGCAAGCGATTAGGGAGGTGTCAGCCATGTGCTGGCCGCGCAGGACATGCGAGCTGCTACTGGTGTAGTTGTTCTTCGGGACACACAGCATGGTCCTGGTTTGTGAAAGATTTCCAGGACGGATCTGATGCTGTTTCACTGTGCAAGTGTCAGTCTAAGAATATTTACTGAAAGTTGTAATTCTAAACCCTGAAGGGCCCCGAGGCACCAGCAAAGACTGTGGGAAACTGGTGGAGAACACCAGCAAGTCGTTGCTTTCACTGACACGATTCTTGCTTCACCAGCCTTTTCCCACCCATCAGTGCAAAACAGATCCACAGAATAATAAGAAACATGCGCGGTGTTGGGTCAAGAAAGCAGAGCAGAGCAGAAATCAGCAACAGACCGCTTTGCTTTGTTCAGCCTCTACTGTTCATACCCAGGGCTGCCAGCACCCTCCCCTTCGTTCTGTGACTCAATGAGCAGGCCACAAGCGTATGAACACATGTGCACACACATCTCCCACAGCTGCTTAAAGGAGCCCTGCTCCTGAGCTGGGCAGGCTGTTTCCTTGCGTCTGATGGGGCGAGTGTCCTAATTCCAGGTTCTGGAGGTGCCAGGGAGATGCCTCTAGGGCAGGGGCTGGAACCTGGAAATCTTCCTGACTAAGCCAGGGCCGGAGAGAGAGAGCAGCTGTCCGTTTAGTTCTCTAGCTATACCAATCCATCCACAGCCTCGTGCCCTGTGCCACTCTAACTGGCGGCTGTCCCCTAGCAGCCACTGAAAATATGCTTGACAACATGTAAATCAGCCTTGTCATGCTGGACAATGGAGTTGGGGATTCAACCCTTTTTCCTTTCTCCTCTCACTTACTCAGCTTTCTCTCCAATAGTAAATGACACAATAAGGTGACATTTTCCACCAGGTTGATTGGTAGGATAGTCGGGGAGAGCTCTCCTGAAGGAGCTGCTTTCCAGAAGGAAAAGAAAGAATAGCAGGAGCATGTTCTCACTCCCGGGCCAAATCTCCCTTCTAATTCACAGAGGAGAGGAGCCTCTGTGCGCGCTGGATGTAGACAGCAAAGGGTTCTTGGGCCCAGCTCTGTGCTCCGCTCTGAACTTGGACAAAGAGCTTCTTTGAGATGGTTTGTTTGTCTTTAACTGGGGACAGCTGACAGTGGCCATCTCGGAGGTTTGGGGTACTTATAACAGCAAGCATGTGGTGGTATTTTCTACACAGAAAATGTGAAATGCAAGTAAAGAGTTCGTCACTGTTGATATCTTTTATTAGGACACACTCACACACACACATAAGGATGAGGTTGAAAACAGAATATTTGGGCTAAGGGTTTGGCTCAGTGGCATAAACACCTGCCTCGCAAGCCTGGGGTTGTGAGTTTGATCCCTAGCACCAAAACAAAACAAAACAAAACAAAACAAAAAAACCCCCAATATTCTTACAGAACTGTGGGGAGTTCCAAACATAATGCCAGCTAATATAACCAAGCTATGAATATTCTATTGCACTAAATATTGGAATGTTTTTAGGTTAAAACAAAACAACAATAACAAAAAGTAGATTAGGGTGTTAATTCTTCTGTGAAAAGGTTAAAATGTTCCTTTTCATAACACTGGGGGCTCTACGTTTCTCACTTGCCCTTTGTCGGGAGGGACTTTATAATCCCAGTTGTCCCTAGGAGTGAAAAGCAAGCTGACAATGTTTGCAGCCAAGTACATTTCCTAGCAGGCTTTGTTCTTTACCAGGACAGCTTTCCTAATCTCAGGAAACTTCAGATTTTCTCAAATTTCCAGTTGTAAGTGAAAAATGCAAGAATTCCCTCCTTTTTCTATATTGCAGTGCTTAAAATAATGAGACATTCTATCAGCACCTCCCTTCCTTGTTTCTTTGTGCTAAATATAGATCTCAGGAATCCTGCCAGGTGCTAATTAATCTTCATTACTCTCTTGAGAGGCATGCAGAACGCCTAAGCATTGAAATAGCCAGGCCGAGATGGAGATGTTTAAACCATTAGGAGAGAGACTTATCCAAGGTCACCAAGTGAATAGAAGGAAAAAATGGAGCTCACAGCCATCTGATCTGGTCTGCGAGATCCCCCAGGAGATAGGTGATTGCATAAATACTCGCATGGACAACATTTGCAAGAGCAGATGTCTTATCAAGCCTACCGCAGGACAGGCCCCACCCTCATCTATCTATTCCTATCTGCTTTTATTATGCTTTGGGGCTCCAGCACGATAAGACCTCCCATATGGTACTTGTATTAACATTAAATAATGGCCATTGTATTGTGTATACTATCACCATAGAAATATTTACTTAGTTGAACACAGGCACCGTTCAAGCACGGTGTTTGAAAACAAGCTAATCATAAAAGCCATTCATGCTCACATCTATTTATAAAATCTGCTTCTCTTGTGCCAGTGAAGTGCAGTCTTTGTTCTAAACAAACACACGCAAACCTTCTGCACCCCCAGACACATGAAAGGCACCCCTCCTCCTCTGCAGCAAAGCAGGCCTTGGGGAGGGGCCTTGTGCTGTGCTGAGTGTCAGGCCTGCTTCTGGGGCTCAGCTCAGCTCCTCCCTGGCTGAGGTGGGGGTTTCTGCTGACCCTGCTTCCCCAGGCTTCACTCTCTTCTCTCTGCTCTGACACTGTCTGGGCTCTTCCAGGCTTCCTCTATAACCTCGGTTGAGTGTAAAACAAGCCAGGGGACTAGTCCCTGCGGGCTCTCCTGCTCCACATCTGGGGTCTCTGAGTTGCTGTGGAGAGGTGGTGTGGAGGTAACACCCTTAGGAAATGCTCGGTAATTCCACTTCTCACATCCACACTCTCCATCTGAAAGGGAGTCATCCTCAGTGGATCCTCACGGGTCCACTGCATCTGCTGCCCCTCGCCCACCGTCCCTGGAAGGTTACAGCTGCTGGCACTACACAGCACTGCTCGATGCCCTTACACTGTGGATTACTGAATGCCAGGATTTTGTACCTTGGTGCACTCTTACAGTGCTCAGCAAAGAGCATGAGAAACCTGGGCTTTGGAGCCACAGAATTTAAGCCTTTCCTGCAGCGTACTTACCCTCTGACCTTGTGAGAATGATGTAACTCCTCTGATTGCCATTGTTTTAGTCTGTAGGCCGGAGATAACAGTAATGCTTGTTTCTCTGAGCTGATGTGACCACTGGAGACAATTCAGGCCAGAAGTGTGCTCGCACACAATGGGTGCCATTTTAGAAATCAAGTAAGTCAAGTTGTTTGTTCCTTTTCTAGCAGGGCGTTGAGAAATGCAACAGGAGAGCACATGGGGTATCAGGAAAGACAGAGGTGACCTGACTGACATCCAGCTTTGCTACCAAGCGCTGAGTGGCTCTGGCAAATCCTCCTTTTTCTCTAAGAAGTCTATAAAATGCTGTCTGTGAATACTGCTTTACAAACACGAGACTGCTGATCTCTTAAAAAATCACAAAAGTAATACAACCAATGATAATATTTACACACCTGGCCGTTCACTGACAAAAGCACTTGATGTACACTGTAATTTAAAAACTGAACTTATCTTTATTAATCTCAGCCCATTTAAATCTGTCTGAGGAGTAGCCATATAGGTTTTGTATGAGAGTTTAATTTCTGAAACAATATTCTACAGCTTCTTCCAGTAAGAGGTATTCCAGAGTGTGAGCTCCTGGCCAGATTGTTTTATTTGTTTGTTTTATTTTGTTTTACTACATTCCTCCTGTTGTTGAGGGTTTGGAAGCCCAACCCATGAGACAAGATGCCCTCAGAGAGGCTCTGCTAAGCAGGAACTCAGGTCTATTTATTTATTTTGTCTTTTTCTTTTTTATCGGTACCAGATATCGAACTCACGACTGCATACTTGCAAGGCAGGCGCTTATGCCTGCTGAGCTAAATCCCTAGCCCCTATTTAAATACTCCTTACTCTCTTCCCTCTTTCCTAATCCTGCATCCTGGAGGCGGGTCCACCTGATCTCCCACCATGAAGGGCAGGTTGCTTTTGGTTAAATAGGTAATTATGGGCAGGCACTGTTCTAGATACTGGAGATCTGTCCAGGAATAAAACTAACTGCCCTCTGCGCTTCTTAGTGACGTGCATGCCTCTGTGGGCCTATTTGGAGGACACTGGTCTGCCTTACAGGAAACGGAACCTTTGCCCTCTGGTGCTGGGATTCCTGGGCAGAGTCTGAATGAAGCAAGGAAGCCTGTCTTTGTCTACATGAGCCTCGCATTTGTCTCTGTTGTCCCCTCAATTTGTCACCTCCTTCTCCCACTTCGGCCTCAGTTTTCTAGGTTCAGGAACTAAGTTTATGCTTGTGGATAAATAACTTTCTCTTGCAGGCTTTGGTGCCCCTCTGAGGGAAGAGGGGTTGTACTCTCCTTCTGCAAGTCCCCTCCCAGCTCTGTAATTGAGTCCAATTAACTCAGTTGAAATAATAGCACCCATTTAGCTCAACTGTCTCATCCTTCTCCCCCCATATACTCAAATAAACACTTTGCAGTAACTTAGAAACAGGTCAGGCTAACCAGGTAGTTTTAAAGCTGTGTTTGCCAGACAGAGTCTAGTACCACCCCTCTCTGTGTAAACATCAGTACTCCAGGCTGGAAGACAGACCCTCCAGGGTGTCTTTGTCTTTAGGAGGAGCCAGCATGCTCCACGAACCCTGATAGCTACAGAGATACTGTACTGGCATCAAGAGCTTGCAATACATAGGTGTTGGAATCAGACAGACAGACAGACAGACAGACAGACAGACAGACATTGTCCCCAGTTACGCTGTCCTTAGGTCCTGGTACTTGGTAGATACTCAAGTACTTGTTGAATGAGTGGGTGAATGCGAGGACACTGGTCTGGCTCTTTTTCTGGCTCCCTTTCCCTTGGTTCTACTTATTCATTGGCTGGCTTTGCTTTGGGAAGCAAAACAATGTTTTGGGTTGATTAATCTGCAAAATAGATGTGAGTGAGTTGAAACTAAACACGTCTTCCAAAGGAGTGGCAGGGGACCAGGGTATTCCACGCCCTATTTCTTCCCTCAATGTTCCCACACTCGCCCGTTCCGCAGATCAGCTCAGGCCTCTCCGTGGGACAGGCTCTTTAAAGAAAGATGGGGCTTCAGAAAGGAGGCTAGCAGAGAAACTTGAGGCTGCTGGCAACACTTCTGAGCCACCCTGTTCTGACAAGTGGGGGGCTGTGGGGAGGTAGCATCCTGGCTCCTCTTGACTCCCACCAGGACCTGACTCTGCGCATGCGCACTGCGGGTTTCCAAGCGCTCGCTGGAAGAATTTGGCCTAGAAGGAGAGCATGATCTACAAACCCACGGAGCAGGCACAGTGAATGCAAACTGGTTACATTAGGGGTTGGGGTTCTGTTTATTGACAGGGTCATGGCCTCTCCTGGTTATGACCCCCAAGGGAGCCTGGCATGGAAACGGTATTTGTAACATAACACTAACAATAACACACCAGAGACAGCCATGACAGGGCCATCTCTGCTACAGGCCGCAGCTGGCTCTCCGGGGTGAGGCCAGAGCCTGGAACATGCACAGCAACAAGAGACAAAGGGCAGGGATGGAGCCAATGGGAGGGGCTCCACAGGCCAGGAGTGCAACCCTGGCTTCTGGGGTCCATGCCACAGGTGGGCCTTGTCACCTCCGTCTCTTGTCACCCCCATGTTTCTGGATGCAGCGGGGGCCTATGGAGGAGCCACTCCCTCCTGCCCATCTCTCAACTGTGGTACAGAGGCCTCACTACAGACCTGAGTTACATCCATTGCCCATTTGTCCAGTGCTTGAGAATTATTAATTTTGTTCTTCTTGGGATTGAAAGTAATAAGCAGGATAGAAAGAGTGATGGAACGATCAGAGTTGCCAACACTATGTCCAGTCTGTAGGCACCTTGGACAACACTGGAGTATATCAGTTCTTTAGGTTTCCGTTCTTACCTTCTGGAGAAGAATCTGGGCGACTGAAGTATTTCCACATGACATAAGGTATCCCGAAAGCACAGCACACTGGAAAACCCCTTTTTCAGCGTTTTGTTACTGGTGCTTTTCCCGCCTATTTGGAATCCTTGTGGGAGCTGACGTAGGAGAAATGTCCACTTGACAGAGGCATATGGGGTTTAGGATAGAAAGAGTGATGGGACGATCAGAGTCGCCAACACTATGTCCAGTCTGTAGGTACCTTGGACAACACTGGAGTATATCAGTTCTTTAGGTTTCCGTTCTTACCTTCTGGAGAAGAATCTGGGCGACTGAAGTATTTCCACATGACATAAGGTATCCCGAAAGCACAGCACACTGGAAAACCCCTTTTTCAGCGTTTTGTTACTGGTGCTTTTCCTGCCTATTTGGAATCCTTGTGGGAGCTGACGTAGGAGAAATGTCCACTTGACAGAGGCATATGGGGTTTAGAAGTCAGCCATGGCCCTCGTTTCTCCCTCCCAGCCCGTGCTTCACCTCTAGCCTCCCCAGCAGGGAGGTGTCACCAGTGGGTGGAGATGCTGGAATAGCCTGGCACTCACGCCTGGCACTCACTCTGAGGTGATTTCCAGGGGAAATGGTGATGGGCACTTTTCTCCATCATGCAGTCTGGGAGGGTCACCATTTCCTTAAATGGAGGCATAATGAACAAGCATAGTTAGCGGTCCTTTGTCAGCCTCAGATGAGGCCCTGCTTTTTGGAAATCCTTCAGTTCCTCAGCTCTAACTCACTTTCATCTGCAAGCCCAGCGTTTGTCCAAGCCTGTTGGTTCCCAGACGCCCTCCCTAGGTGCTTGCTCTTCTGTGACTGCAGTCTTGTCCTCAGAATTTGCATTCTGTGTAGAAAAGCCCACTGACAATATTTAAAACATTAAAATATTTCAGAAACAATGGTCTCAAAATGGCCGGGACACACCCAGCACTGTATTCACACAGGAAGCCTACACAGTTGACCTGATCATCTGCCAATGGTCGCCAGTGTATGCAGGCTTCGTGGACCAGATGAAGAGCCTCCATTCAGCATCAATTCGCCATCGCCACAATTCCCTGCCCTCAACGAGCAGCAGTCATGTGCATAAGAATTTGTGGTATCTTCTGGTTGCCATGGAGAGACATGGGGCACAGAACGGAGAATTTTATGTACTCTGTCAGCTACACATGAAGAGGAGGTGGTTGTTGTCAACACAATGAAATGTGAATATTTTTCATGATTTCTTCTCCACAATGCATCTCTTTCTGTGCACATGCAGACAGCACCTCCAAACATTGATTCCCACTGCAGCCACCAGTCTTCTCTCACCATCAGAACTCACAGGTGTGTGTTCTCTCTGCTCGCATTTTACCTTTACACACCTCTGCCCTGCCTCAGTCGTGCTGTTACATTCACTGTCATTGCTCACTAGTTCATGGCCACGCCTGATTTTCCCCCCAAAAGTGTCTGGCCTTTGAGAACAGAAGCTCTGGCCATGCCCTCTTCCCTGTTGGCTCAGTTCTCCTGGGTCATCTGTATTTCTTTTTTCTTCCTCTCTCTCTCTCTCTCTCTCTCTCTCTCTCTCTCTCTCTGTCTCTCTCTCTCTCTCTCTCTCTCTCTCTCTCTCTCTCTCTGTCTCTCTCTCTTCTGGTACCAGGGATTGAACTCATGACCTTGCACTTACCAAGCAAGTGCTTAAACAGCTGAGCTAAATCCCCAGCCCTCATCTGTGTTTCTTCCAAGAATACAGATAAGCATGATGGTCACAGGATAGCCTGAAATCCAGCATTCACTTAAAGATATAACTAAGGATTTTCTTAAAGTCGGCCAAAGTGGAGAGTCCTAGATTTCTTGTACGTGATTTAGATATCATTTGCCCAATTTTTACATGAAACCTACATATTGACGATCTTACAGTTGCATTTTCTGTTCTCCTTCTCCTTCTTTCCCTTCCTCTTACCCTTTCTCTCCCTCTCCCTCTCTTTTTCTGTCTCTGTGTCTCTCTCCTGTTTTCTTTTAACTCCCGTTTTGCAAAAGTAAAGACAAAAGTCACCGGAAGTCTCAATTGTCAAGCACAGTCTTTGCTACACATTTGACATTTGACAGTGTGTTCCCTCCCTTCCTCTGTACCCTCATCTCACTCGCATGGGCACCAGCCTCAGAGATAACCATATCAGGCAGAATAAATGAAGCTTGTTTCCTTCTAAATTTGCTTCCTCCTACACAGTGTGGCTGTAGACCTGGGGTGCATTTACCCCCGACCTTGTTCTTCCGACTTTTAGGTGCTAGGCTAGACATGCAGAACAACTCATATCTTCTTGAGACAAAAATCACAAAACTGTTGAACCAGAAAGGATTTGACAAAAAGTCCCCTCTCACATTGGCATTTTGCAAATAAAGATAACTGAGGCCTCAGAGAGTTCAATGAATTTTCTGAAATCAGAATTAGATACGAACAGATCAGGCACTAAAACTCTTAACACTAAAACCCTTCATACCAAGTATTAAGACACAGGCATTCTCTTAACGACTAGTGTGACATTTTTTGACTTTTAACACAAAAGCTCAGAAATTGTATTTTTAGCAATAACACTGGAAGTTGCGAGGATAAATCTCTTCAGTATCTGAGAAGACCGGATTCTCCCATAAATTCCTCTGGGATGCACAGACAGGCTTGTCCCCTCATCCTGTGCTGGTGATTGTGTGGAGGAGCTGCTCTGTGCATGACTCAGACCCAGCTGGGGTCTCCCGAGGGTCTGTGACCAAGTAATCTCATCCCCACGTGGCCTTCTCCAGGAGAACAGCCCGGCAGCTCTTCACTCAGAAGCCCTGACCCCCCGAGGGCAGCCAAGGTGACCTTACTGTGACGCCACATGGCAGGTGACAGAGGTAGGAGAGCAGAGGCTGCTGGAGACAGGGCAGAGTCCCTCAGGACAGAGTGGCTGGGAACATCCGGAACCAAGTGGTCAGAATAACTGCAGAAACTCCACTAGGGAAGGTCCTCAGTGTGAGTCTTCAGAGGAGTTCAAACAGAATCTAAAGAAAGATGAGAATGGCTGACAGTGGAGACCAGGCAGTGGACGTACACATCGAGATGACTCTTGGAGAAGGAAATTGGGCAGAGCGCTCCAGATCCTGACGCTACTCTGCACCCCTGCACACGTGCTGCTCTCCTATGGACATGCTTTTGGGGTGTTCTCTTACCCAAGAACCCCAGCCCCTGGACACCCCAGAGGCTAAGAGTCTGCCCTTTCTGGTCCACTACCCTGCCTGCGTGCTTCCCAGAGATGAGGAACGCTTTTCAGAGAGCTATTTTTAGAAGTAGTAACCTCAGAATAAACAGCGCACACCAGATGCTGGTGTTTTTCTGGGGCAACAGAGCTGAGGAGCATTTTTTTTTTTTTTTAAGAAAAGGTGGACCAGCCCACCTTGCTGGGTCTGGCCTGGGGACTGCAGATTGCTAGGCTTGACTCCCTCTAGCGGTGAGATTTAAGAAGACAGGAGACCACCTGGGTTCCCACTAGTCAGATTGTGATGGGTTTTAAAAGAACTCTGTTACTTTACACGTGTGCTTCTCCTCTGGTGAAAGGTAGCTTAAAGCCTAATTTTCAGGGTACAACTATATGTTGTTAACAGTAGAGCGATTGCTCTCCTTTTTTGTCCTATACCTGGAAGGATGGATGAGTAAATAGAATGCAATTTTGGGTATGAAGTTACAGTTACATTTCTGGACACCTTTGATTAAAGAAAATCAAGCAGAAACTGAACGTGATACAAAATACGGTTAGGATATGTTTTATGTGTCCTGTGTTATCTCTTTCCAAAGTCAAAGTAAGCCTCTCTGCCGGCTGCATGGCAGTCAAGTTCGAGGGGCGGGGAGGGCTCTGGAGTTTAGTGTTGGATAAAAGCACATTGAAACGGTGGCAAGGCTTTCTGTCTTTCGGCTCCAGGAACCAGACACACATTGCTAAGAGACCCCAAAGGAGACCCCTCTTTGAAAATTTCAGTCATGCGTCCCATCATCCCATTTCTTAGTAAATTTGGTTCAGGCTCAAAAAGGAAACAGAAGAAAGTTAAGTGTCTTTCTATAGACCATTAAATTCTAGAATTCTCCAACCAAAGGCTATATGGTTCTTCTGGGTGCAAGGAAACTGTCAGTGACAGAGTCTTCCCTGGGCTGAAGACCTTCGTCCTTTGATCAGAGAGCTTGTCAGTGTGGAAAATAGTCAGAGGACAATCACCTAAGATTATAGATGACAAGATTTCTCCTAACAACTGGCTGTGGCTGACCGAACATCTCAGTGACAGAGTAAAACCAAAATAGCTGTGGGTGACAAGAAGGAAAATGGGTTTAGTCACTAATCAGTTGAATTGTGCTCCTATCTCCTGGCCTATTTTCAGTCAGATTTGGTAAATTATGGAACTGCATTCATTCAGGCAACAGAAAGCATTCTATTCACAAACATCTCAACTCAGTCAACAACTGGCCCATTGTGAGCGCTTTTGCTGAAGGGGCTGGTTGGTTTTCTAGTGTAACAGTCTCTTTCTTGGTTGCCCTGTTCTCTGAAGTATTCTCATTCATCAGTTTTGCATGCTTTTGTTTACAGCTGCCCAAATTTCTAACATCTACCAGTGGAGAGACCAGAATGCTTCTTCTGCCATGACATGTGAGTATCAAATGACATATTCAGTTCTCCAAGGTGGACAATCACAAGGCATCTGCTGGTGCAGATTTTCCTACATGTCTGCTTTTCTGGTCTTCTGTGGCTGACCCAGAAAGCAAAGAGATACAAACTATCTGATTCTGGAGATGAAAGTCATCCTAGGTGAGAACGACTGATTTAAGGGGAGATTTCATTTGATGTTTTCCATTCATATTTTCTTTAGTAATTATGGAAAAACCATATTGTAGAGTATTGCATAGATATCAGAAGGAACAAATGAAATTCTTGCACTAGAAGAACTTCTGGTACATCTGTTGGAAGAAAACAGACAGTAAATAGAGAAAGAAACAGAAAAGAGAATCCTGATGGTGATAAACAATGTGAAGACGATGAAACAAAGTAGCCAGCCGGAAGTGGGTCATGTTTAACAAGACCCCGGAAGACGAAGGCTCGCTCTCAAGGTGGTGCCACCTTCTGGCTTGATCCTGAGTATTGGTAGTCAGGAGAATGCTGTGGGCCACAGTGACACTGGGAAGGAGAGGGATGTGCTGAAGGCCATGGTTTCAGAAGCTCCTCCGGTAGTCATCTGAATGTAGGGTTTTTGGAAAAGAGAGAAACCGTGGAAGAAAGTTTCCAGGACATTATTATAATTATTAAGGGAAAAGATAATAAAAACCCTGAAGTAGGTGAAATCAAAGAATGAGGACTGTGTAGCGAAGCTTACCTGATGTTTAAATTGGACAAATCACAAGTATAAATCCTTTGCAGGATTTTTCCACATGAGGACAGTAAGCAAATTAATTACCACTATTAACTCCAGGAAGAGTAGGCTGTGTTACCACATCAAAAGGCAGAGAGCACTGCCTTGGAAATGAGAGTTGTCCTATGGTTAGTAACGGCACCATCTGATTTGCCTCACTGTATTGTAACCACTGACTGTTATCTACCGGTCGGTCTGATATTATTCTATGGGCAGTATTTCTAACTCTGAGGATGACAGACCTTCCTGAAAACACAATGAGCTATGAGCCTAGAAGAAAAATGTCTAAGTGCTCACCTAAAGTTTTTGATTAGATGAAAATTATGTAAGGCAATCATCAATAAAAAAATTAGTGCCTAGCAAGTACAAGGTCCTGATTTTGATTTCTGCTTCAAAAAATAAAGATCAGAAAGAAGAAGAGGTAGCTATGAATTAACAGCTATAGATCCATATTGAAATCTGATGAATTCAAGATGGCCAAGGAACAATTCTAATAAGATTTCTGGGGAACAGTGGTAGGCATATTATTGAGGTTCTAGATAAGAGTCAGGATGCAGAATATAGTTTCTGGAGTTATTAGAATAAAAAGAAGGCTGGGGATTTAGCTAAGTGGCATAAGCACCTGCCTTGCAAGCAGCGGTCCTGAGTTCAATCCCCGGTACCAATAAAAAAAAAGGAAAAAGAAAAAAAAAAAAGAATAAAAAGAATTGGCATCACAGGGTCGACACCATCTCCAATGGAGAAAGAGAGAGACAAGTGGACCAGGGACAGAACATTGGAAAGATTATTAGTCAGAAATCAGGTAGTCCTCACAGGATAGGGAGACCCAAATAGTCCAGAGATTTAGTAAAACAAAGTAGCCAGGTGTCATCCAATGAACTGGTAGTTGAAATAATGAGGCTAAACTTCTGGAATCTGCCGTGAGAAACAGGGAAGGAATGTGAAGAGTGCAAACGTTCTGATGTTGTTCTTTGGGAACTTGTTAGGACAGTAGCAGGAGCCCACAGAGAACCTTGGACGAGTGATGGGGTCGCTTGGCTTCAGCTGCTACACACGTACTCTGGATCAAGTCAGCGACATGCTGTTGAAGTTGTTCCACTAGCTGTGGCTGCTGAGGTTCAAGAAAAGAGAAAACAAGAGGCAGAAAGTGGCACCAAAGTAGGAAGAAAAGTCAAAGATAAAGGAGCCCAGAGTTTTAGGGAAGCCTTGACAAGGCCGCTGGAGGGCAAGCAGTGGGCAGGACAGAGGGAGTCAGGGGTGTGATGGGGGGCGAGAGGCACAGTGAGGGGAGAGCCCGAAGGACCGCAGGGAGGAGCACGGCTGCTGCTTTACTGTGATCAGGAGAGGTGACCTAGGGTTTTTAAAAGTTGATTCCATACTTTTTGCTTAACAACCATGCACCTAGTCGTTATGATTACAGGTGTTAGTATGAGCAGTAAGATCCTTGTCCTAATAGAGCTGGAGAAAGGAGAAATCAGAGAGATGGGGTGTGGGGGGGTGACTAGGGATTAGGGTTCTCGGGACAGTCTTGGGTTGGGCCCAGGGATGAAGAATAAGGGAAAGGAGACATCAAGGGCAACTCAGGAGCCTTTGGCTCAAACAATCAGCCACCATTTTTACTGAGATGAGGAAGATTCTAGAAGAGTGGGCTTCGAAGGGATGAAGATTGGCAGAAACTTTTGGCCTTCTCTTGCCACATTCAATGTAAGATGTCAAATTGTGACCCAGAAGAGAATTTTAAGCATGACAAAAAGCATGGTTACAGGCTTATGACGTTTTCAGGTCAGAGAACAACAAGAGCCCAGAACTTTCACTTGCACCATGGATCTTAAATGTCATACTTGTAATAGTGAGGGGAGGGTATTGATTAAGAAAAACAAACGTTGAATTGAAATTGCAAGAAATAGAATCTGTTTTTCCCAATGATGTCTTAAAGGTTAGTGGACGATTGATAAAAAGGAAAAAGTGATGAAATACAATAATCTTAAGAGAGATTACATAGAGATTAAATATATTTAATTGGTAATAAGAACTGTGATGCTTTGGCAGTAGAGGGAAGGTACTTGTGAACATAAAATATACAAATGAGTAAAATGTGGAAACAGTGATAGATTTTGTAATAGATGCAAGTTTTGCTGTATATTAGAGCATTCTACTGATGCAGAATCCACAGATAGATGAAGGATGTTTTCAGAACAAGTGTATCAGGGAGGGATACTCAAAGATCAAACTTTAAGTTTTCAGTTCTTCCAAGTTCAGCCTAAGATTTCTCCTTTACTGCATCTGCTTTTGTGAGTGTGTATGTGTGTGCATTTGTGTATGTGTGTGTTCCCAGCACAGCTTCTGGCTAATATTTCGCTAGGGAAACATGTGATTTTAATGAAATTTGCTGAATTTCAAACAGCCACACGTGTATGAAAGCTGCCCAAGCTGGATATTTGTGGAATGCTGATTTTCCATACATATCACCATTTGGTAATTATCATCAGAACTATTCATGCGAGTTTAAAAGTGGAAATAAAATTAAGAGAGATTGAACATGGGCCTCAGATGACCTCGTGGGTAACCCTTCAAGGTAATCAGTCCTCTCAGTGAATTCACAACTATCACACCCTATATGGTTAGGCCTTCTTCTTAGTTCATTTTTCCTTGGAAATTTCAACGGACAAGCTGTCAGTTCCTCTTAAATCTGCACATATAAGGTGGGGTGATGTTTGGATAACTGAAGAGCCATGGGAAAACTGTGCTGTTGCTTAACTTACAGAAGTCTTTGTTGATATTCTTTCTTCATTTTGCAAGTTTCTTAAAACCTGAACTTTCCTATGTTTTCTTTTGTTTTTTCCTTAGTCTCTTTAAAAGTCTAACATATAGGC